CTACGACTACGAATACGACTACGACTACTACTACTACTACTACTACTACCACCACCACTACCACTACCCCTAATTACACACTACCACTACCACGACGACGACCACCTACTACTGCTACCACTACCACTACCCCTCCCTACCACTACCATCACCACGACGACGCGACTGCTATTGCTGCGCTACAGCCAAGGCTGCCTAAGACTGATGCAGCCATCAGAATAAGGCTTACATGTCAGGACGCGGCGAAAATCCTGTTAACAGCTAAGCCCGTCTGAGGCTAAAGCGAAATCGATCGACGACATGACGCCTGGTTCCAGCCATGTGCAGCACTCGGAGGTCTGTCACTTTTGAAGCGTGCCTCCCGAATTCGCAGGAAAAGGCGAGCCAAGTCAGGGTCACCCATCCTGAAAATTATGGTCGACGGTCCGGTTCTTGGACCTGTAACGAAAGAGGAAGACCCGTCTGGATCTGCCTCCACATACAACTGAAAGCTCTGATTCGGTTTCATGTGCAGCCCAGGGTCATCTCAGTACCGACAATTTAGGACTTTTTGGCATCAAGCGATGCATCTGGCCTGTTTGGCGAGGGAACAACTACAGACTCTGATTTGTGCTGGTGCTTGGGCCCATGGTCCCGGGACGTCGCATGGCCTATGCTTTAATCACTGAATCACACCCTTAAACATTACTCACGAAGCTACGACAACGACGATGACGATTCTCATGCACAGCCCGTCCTTGTGTTACTGGTGCTTCCACTGGGAAACATGCCTGTCGCCGTCTTGGCTACTAGTATTTCCTCTTCTATCATCATGAAAGACCTATGCTCGGCTTTCTGAATTCCAAGGCGTGCGCGGCTCAGCACGGAGAAATTCCGCAATAGTTGCGCTGACATCTGCCTCAGCGCTGATCGGCTGACTTACGGCGTGGTTTCGATGTCTACACGAGGCTTCAGTATTCGGACCTTCAGGAACAAGTGCTTCAGGACATCAACTGTCGCGATATGAGCTCTGCTTCGGCCGCCTTGTCCCGGAGTCTATGTGCCTGTTACACAATAGCGGTTCCTGTCGGATACGACAAACTGCCTAATGGCACACAAACAGTCCAGGTAAGTTGGAGTGGGAGCCAGCATAGTTAATTTTGCCTTATACGTATGTGTATAGATATATACATACACACGCATGTATATATATATATATACATACATACATACATGTGCATGTATGTATGCACGTACGTACGTACGTACGTACGTACGCAGGTATGCATGTATGCATGCATGCATGCATGCATGCATGCATGCATGCATGCATGCATGCATGGATGTATGTATGTATGTATGCATGTATGCATGTGTGGATGCCGTACCTGCGGCAAACACTGGCAGCAGCGTGTACGCTGTGTGCCCGAGGATGGAAAAAAAGGCCGAATTAATGCAATACAACAAGTGCATAAGTATACTAACATCTTCGTAAGCATGAAGCCGCATCCTGTTCGAGAAGCATGGTGTCATAAGGGCTTCAAAATTGCCAATCCCAGGGCTCGTCGACCCTATGCATTACCCGCCGGCTCCTGAGGCAAGACCAAACCCGAAACCCCAATAGCTGAACCCTAAACCCTAGCTGTTCAGACCCCCTATTACATCCCTAAACCGCCTAAACCCTAAGTCGCAAGATCAAAATGACCCTTGACATGAATTCTTAAGACCCCTCAGCCCTACACCCCAATTCGTAAGACCCCGGAGCAGCCTTCTTCAGCCCTACGAAGCCCCCCGTTAGTACGCCCCGAAACAATAAATCCAGGCACCTCTCTGGGCTCTTTCAGTCGCTCCTCCAGCTCAGCACGAAGGCGCCGCTCACGGTCGCAGCGATCCTCGAGCTCCTTATTCGTGACCTTCGTGGAACAGCTGTGGAGGTTAGGACTAAGATGTCCCAAAGGCCCAGTTACCGTTGTTTTACGGCCAAGGGTGCTTGCATCGTGGGCTGCAAATCCGCAAAAGATGCTACTAAAATATACCATGTTAAAAGAATCTGGCTGAGGATTGAGTCGGGAAGAGGACTATCATCTGCGCGTGGATTTCAAAATGTTTCAGTTTTTTTGGGGGGGAGGGGGGCGGGTGGACGTGGGCCCAGCCAGACTGTTGCTGCAGCCTTTGCTGATGCTTGCTTGATTACGTCTTTCTGTTAGAAGCCAAGCAGCTTTGAGAAGCGGATCTCTCCATTCATCAGAGGCTGGATTCCGGAACAAGGATTTTGCCAAAAGTTCAGGTCCATAAGAAAGCTAGGCTTTCTTATTAAAGGGTTTATAGAAGGAAGCAGTTTTCATTCCTTCCTGAGCTACCCCTTATGGGGCCTGCCCGGCAGCACCCCGAATCAGATTTATTCAAGGGCTGTTTTTTTTTCAATTTGTTTCGAAAAGGGATTCCACACGTTGCTATTTTTATATTGTCCGAAGGAGCCAAAAAGTGATGTTCTACTAGTGCGCCGGCCTGTGATCCTTATTCTGGACCGGAGGTGGGGGCCCCCGCATGCGACAGTAAACCCTCCTATGTAGGTAGCTGAGCTTCCGAGGGTACACAAACACAAAACACCCGCACAAGTCGTTCAATGCAATGGTGCGCATATGCAGACATCTGTGCATGCTTTGCGTACAGGGAAAAGGAGGCCCAAAGAACGACGAAAACTCTAACACCCAAAGCCTAAAGAAAAGGCAGGCGGCCTGGAGCTGCTCTGTCAGCGCTAGGTCGGTCCTTAGTGCCTCCTTGCAGGGATCACAACGAGCCTCTGTGAGGCCCTCAGGGACTCTTCTCAAAGCCAAGTATGTGGGTTGTTTTTTCTGTGAATACGTGCAGGGTGTATGTGTGCAGAATATGGCCAGAAAAGAATCTTATAGTACGGGGGCCCATCTTCGCCACTAAGCCCTGGGCAATGGCAGCCTATTGAAAGCGAAGGGCCTCCCTGCTGCAGACCGACGGTCCGAATCGCTGTAGCTGCCCGAATCATCAGACGTCTGCAGATTCTGCCTCTGCCTCCAACGGCCTCTATGGCTGGATAGCCCACACCTCTGAAACCGGCATCCCAACGTAGGTCCTTCATCTGCGAGATCACCCGATTCCCAGCACCCCACAATACATCCGCAAAGCTCTCGCTGGCTGTTGGCTGGAACCTCGGCAGAAGGGTGACGGAAGCTGGGACCATCTCGTAGGTGAGTCCGTCTTGGGAAAGGCCGTCTGGATAGCAGTTCGGATGTTTAGGGGTCCTCGGCCCAGCCCGGGTCTCCATGCAACCGATCCAGGGGCATGCATCAACAGCCTCGTTGGAATTGCGCTCTATGTTACAAAAAAGCGCAAGAACTGCAAGAACCTCTTATGAGTCTTTCCAGCAGCCGGGGCACCTTTCTGCCAGGGCCTTCAAGGATGCTACCTGCTCTTGGAGACGCAGATTCGTCTCTTGCCTGTCTGGGTTTCGGATTCGGGTGAGCGCTGGGTTGCGGGATCCCCCTGTCTCTCTCTCCCTCCCTTTCTCCGGCTGAAGAGCTATATGGCTATATATCGGAGAGCGAGCTGTCACTAGCAGCCACTAGCACATCTATCACGGCATAGGGTGACGGCACTGGCAGGCTTGATGCAGCAGTTTGCTGCTTATGCTCGCGCTTCCGAAGTTGAGCAGGCTGTTACACTCCCAACTCTCTCCTAAAATGTTAAGGCCTCGGTAGCAATTAAAGACAGGATCTGGTTCGAGAACAAATCAAAGGCCATCGCGGCAAGACATCCATTTTGCAGAACATGCCTCCTGCTCTCCCCCCCCCCACCCTAGTAACGTGCATCAGTGCGACAAACCCGTACAACCCACGAAGACGGCAGGTGTTGAGACCATCATCCTGGAGCTGATGCAGAAGCTAAGTTGCAGGTCATCCATCTCAGAGTTCTGACCAGCTTCAGGGCAGTCCTTCGATTCTACGGAATAGGGTGGGCTGAAAAACCAGAGCGTGAAATTATCCAAAGGGGAAGGCCTAGTAGAAACGAGACCAGGTGCCACTGCAAGCCTGGGAACAATCGTAGGCCAAGTCTCATCCACTTCAGAGGACAGCCGCTGCAGGCTTAGCAGCTCCCGCAAACTCTGCTCTCGCCTCGCTTTCTCGCAGTCGTGAGCCTGCTGCTCCGACTCTGCTACGTTCTCTGCGGCACTTCGCCGAGCTCGCTCCCGTACTTCGCTTCGGGAGACTTCCTCCTGCAACCTGGAGATGTCTCGGTGGCAGGACTTCAGCTCCTTCCTCTGGCGCCACAGCTTCTCCTCCCCCACCGTCAAAAACGGAGCCGCCTCCCAGTACAGGTTCTGTCGAGATTCTCCCTTGGTCACACACAAAAAACAACATGCCAGCTCTCCACGGAAACCCCAACAAACCCAAAAATTCCAAAAACGTGTGGACCAAAAAGTTGCGACTTTTGCTTGCACAGCTTCCTTCTCCCGGAGGCGACGCCGTCGAGCTACCAGCTCCTCCACCTCCGCGAACCCAAGCACCAAGCTCTGTAACCCCTGTACCCGGTTATACACTCCGCTGAGCCCAAACAACCCCAGACTATACCTTATGAGCCCTGCACTCAGTCAAAAACCCAAATCCCAATGTAAATCTTGCAATCCTATATACCCTGTAGTTATGTAACCTGAACTCCACCAAAAATCCTCCACCTCAGTGTTCAGCTGCTCCACAGCGCTTTCCTGCAGTGCCTTCTGGCTGCTGAAGTGCTCCTGAGCTGTCGCGGGAAAACTCTGAAACTATGAGCACTACATGCCGGTGCAAATGCAAATGTCAGAAGGCAACTATTCCTATCTACCAGACCAACCTACCAACCCACCTGCCTGCCTGCCTGCCTGCCTTGCTAAACACTCACAGAGACAAACAGACCGACCGACCGACCGACGGACCGACAGACAGATGTAGGTTATACCTGTATACATACATATATATATATATACATACATACATACATACATACATACATACACATACATACATACATATATATATATATATTTGTATTTATTTCTTTATTTATTTATGTATATTTATATGTGTGTTATGTATACATCTACAATTATACATACACATGTTGCATGCAGGTCCCCGCAAATAGCCGGGTTACCGGCTTTCTCACCCAGTTCCACCTACCTATTTCCCCCTACCTCTAGCCGACGGCCTCTTCCACAAGCCTCCGGATGTGAACGATGAGGCAAGACTCTTCCAACCTTCTCTCTTCTGCACATGCTGCCTCTGCCATCTTGTGGTGTGCCTCCTCCCCCTGCCAGTCCGCAGCCATGATAAAGGAGGGAGGAGAAGGGGGATCCAACCATCCAGGAGTGCACGGACCGCTGAACATAGTGTAAATGCACGCGCTGGTGATAGGCTACGCCTCTGCATGCGTAGACGACTCGGGTTCAATCGAGGAGGAAATGGTAACGCCGTGCTGCTGGGTTTACTTCAGTTCTTTGCTGGGGATCTGAAGCCTCATGGGTGTTTGACAGAAATCTTCAACAGCCACGGGATCGGTGAGGCTGTCATGTCCATGATGGAAACCTGTGGGCGTAGTTTGTCAAAGCTCTGGTTCGCCTCCCGTGCGGCTTGGAGCATGCTAAGCTTCATCGCAGCTGCCTGCAGCTGGTGCTCTTCCAGCTCCTTGGTTGGGCTTCGAATTCGGGTATCTACACCTGGACCTCCCCCTCTCAGCGTGTCAATGTGCATAGTATACGACATACATATTACAAGAATAAAGTTAATGTATGTGTGTGGTATACACACACTCAGACCGGCGATGGAAGCGTGTGGACGACGCGAAAAAATCAGAGCCAAGCTCTGAGCACATCAAGTCTACGAGAATAGACACACCAGACACATGCCTATAGCCGTGTAGCCAACGGCAAGCTGTCGGTGCCTCTTGCTGATCACCCAAGCAAAACACACCAAAAAACCCAAACAGATCGCGCGACTCAAAACGCGCACAAATAGAGCATATCCACACTTGCGCATGCTTCCAGCGAAGACCAAGTGGCAAAGGTCCGGTGCTCCACCTCCCGCCTGGGTTTTCTTGTTGCTTAGAGCTTCGTCGTGCCTAAGAGCCTTCTCAGCATCTCCCTAAGCAATCGAAGCGTCACGCCAAAACTACTTCAAGCCCGGGATGTCTCAGCATCTTCTCGCCAAAGCATCGGCTCTTCCCTCGAAGTATTATCAAGTTGGGAGTACTTTTTCAAGAATGAGACTTGGGATCGCAACTCCTCTGTCTGGCAACGGTACATGTCACATACTTGTACAATGCTCGCAGCTTTCCTTGCTTTTTCCAGGGTTCGAGCGCAGCACCCAAACCCCAATCGAGCATCATCTACACCCTCTGCTCTGCTCAGACCAACCTAAACAGGGCTAAGATCTTTGGCCGAAGAGCTGGTGGAGCGCTTGCTGCAGAACCTGCACAGCCTTCGATGCCTGCGCCATCTCCTCGCTGAAAGGACATGAGTTACTATAGTTAGCAGTCTACGTTCTACCGTATAATGTAGTAGAGTACTCGGCATAAAGAAAGACAAGAGACAGTGGTCAGGCAGGCGGCACGCAAGCAGGCAGACAGACAGATACACACGCACACACACACACACAGAGACAAACAGACAGGCACACACTGCCAGACAAACACGCCCAGACACAGACAGACAGACAAACGGACGGACGGACAGACAAACAAACAAACCGAGAGACAGATAAACAGACAAACAACAAGGCAGGCAGGCAGGCAGGCAGACAACCAAACAAACAGATGAACCGGCGAAACCAGCGAACAAAACAACACAACATAAACACAGCCACGTATTCGGCGTGCAAGCGCACTTATGTGTGTACGTGCGCATCATGCAAGTGCATGTATACATGATGAAGCTGCACGCCCACCCATTCCGAGCTCCTGCTGCTCAGCTTGCAATTGCTGGCTCTCTGCAGCCCGGCGATCAGAGTGCTCCTTGAAACAGAAACTTGCTGTGACTGTTGTCTTTACACTATACCGACAGGACTAACAAACCTCAAGAGCCGAACACCCGAAGATCTTGCACGGTGTGGCATTTCAATTTCAGCCTTACAGCGCGAACATTTTGGTCGGTAGACTTTAGGGTACGGGTCCTCCAGTTCTCGCAAGTGCGATTCCTGCACCCCGCAGTTGCGCCGTGCCTTTGTAGCCTCTTCCAGCTCAACCTGCTCGGGCTTCGTCTGGTTCTATTAAACAAAGGCCTAACGGGTTTTACACGGTTTGAAGTTGCAACGGCACACATGAGGCCAAAGTAAAAGACACCATGAACCGACGCCCACAGCGGACACCAGACCTGGCCCTCGGGAACACTCGATGAACCAACCCAAATACTTGTTCATGCACGAATGTATGTATGTATATATATATACATACATATACATATATATATATATACTTGTTTATTTGTTTGTATTTAGGTATATATATATACACATATATATATATATTATGTGTATATACATATTATATATATATATGTGTGTGTGTGCGTATGTATGTATGTATGTATGTATGTATGTATGTATATACATACATACACACACACAGAGGGAGAGAGAGAGAGAGAGTGTGTGTGTGTGTGATGTAATAGCATGTGCTTTGACTTGGTGTTTGCACAGGCATCTTAATGTAGGACACACTCCCTCTGCATTTGATGCCCTTTCTCGACACATGTCGCCTTCGCCATGTTGCGCAGTTGCTGCAGACGCTCTGCCCGGTCATCCGCAGCCGTGCTATCGCGGGCAGCCGCAGGGGCACCAGCCCTTGGATCGGCAATGCAGGGTTTGCTTAGTTAGTAAGGACATGTTACAACAGAAGTCTGAGTTCTAGTTTACCAGTTTACCTAATTGACTTACATAAGGGTTATCATTGGGTAGTCCATTTAGGTTCAAGGTGCAGGTGCGTGCAGGGCGTAGGGGGGTGTTGGCGATATGCCTGTGGGGGGAGCTTCAGGCAAAGGGCTGCTGTTCTTAGCATGTGGGTCTAGGGATCGCTTCCTCGGCGGCTTCGCCTCTATAACCGTACCCAGAGCATTGAGCTTCGCAAATGGAAAAGGAATTCTGAAGGCAAGTCAGGGGGCTCCTTTCTCCCACGCGCAAGCCTCCTTGCATGGCTTCCGGCTTGCTTGAACTCAGGTCAACCCCAAGCCCCGTTGCCCATGCAACATATGCAGCAGCCATGGAAAAACTCTCGTACTGGTGGGTCCCAACTCATAACTGAGGAGATCATTCTGGCTGGTGCAATTGGCAATAGAAAAGAAGGGGCTGAGCATTTGCAGCTTGTTAGCCTGCCGCTGCGCAAGAGTAGCCACAACAGGGTGCATGCTGGAGTCGCGTTAAGTCCAGCCTAGGGTCACCCACTTGAAACTGCAGTCGGGACCGTACATAGACCCTCCACGCTCTCTTGCTGGCAACAGCCTCCAGCACGCTAAACATCCCAAAACCCTACCTATAGTCTGCATTGTGGCTGTTTTATGGTAAGGATACTATAGTTAAAAAAAAGAACTAGAATGGAGACTGGAGGTAATCCCTAAACCCCCCAAATGGCCGAGAATCTCTTGGCTTCGGGCCAGCTCCGGACGAGAGCGGCCAAAAAAGAATCCGCGCATTGCGATGCAGCCCGGGGGTTCCAGGGTTTCGGCGACTTCGAGTTCAGGTTTCGAGAGATTTTAGGGTTCACCTATAGTCTCCTTTCTCGTTCCTTTCTTTGGGTTAACAAAATTTATATTATAGGATCCTAACCATAAAACTGGTTAACCAAAAAATGAATTACGATGGAGACAAAAGGTAGGGTTAGGGTTGAGATAGGCTTTTAGGGTTCAATGCGTAGGCCTTGTAACATTTTAGTGGACTGGGGAGGCCAGCTGTTGCTACGAGTGGGGGCTCTCCACTTCTCTATACGACGAGTTGGTGATAGGTTTTACGATGGTCTCTGTGGCACTAGGCTCTTGTGACCTCAAAACAGATCTGCCGAGACTGAACCCAGGAAACCTGTGGGCAAAGACCCGCGCCGTCCAGCCATGAAAGCAGTCAAGTCCTAGTCCTAGTGTGTAACGATTAAATCGCATAATATATCAGGGCAGTGTAGGGTGTCAGGGTATACCCAATAGCAAATTTAGGGAGTATGGTAGAGGGTTAGTTACCTCGAACTATCACGGTGTACTTCTTTGGAGGATCTTGGCATATGCAGGTTTGGAGAGCCTCTTGTTTTGTCGGGAGGGCTCACCCTGCAGTGTAAAAACGAAGGACCACCCTAACAAGCGATACCCTCCGCCAAGAAGTCCAGCTAAACCTATCGCACAACACGACGACGTCCCCAATATGGGCACTTCCGATGCCAGTAAATTCTGCTGCATCACAGAACATCGGCACCCGCTTAACCTTCCAGTGTGAAGCTAGCTTTGATGTTTAGAAGCTCTTACAAGTCTCAAGAAACAGCATAAATCCAACGATGGTCATGACGACATGACGACCCACTCGCAAACCAGGGAGACAAGACATTCAAGCTTTGCAACATGCGAAGTTCTGACCTGGCCCTCACGATCTTTCGAGATTCGGTTTTAAGGCTGGAGCGCAGGACGGAAGAAGCAGTTCGTGTGCTACCGAGTGGCCTCGGTGTCCTGTTCGTTCCTGCGGGGGAAGCGAGAACCGGTGGAAATTGACAACGAACCCGACATGAACGCTTCGGACGCCAACCTATGCAATGTAGCAGAAGCACTTACCAGCCACAGGCATACTGCAGGGCACATAGGGTTTGCACGTGGTCCTTACCTTTCTGGTGCAAGGTTGTGATCCGCCAAAGAGGCTCGGCTGCTACTGCAACATGTGTACGCAATGGCTCTCTACCAAAACCCAGACAAACATGTCGCAGAAAGACCCGAGGTCGGCCCGAGGTGAAATTTTGGGGAATGCAACCACAAAGCAAGACTGCCTACTCAATGAGCAAACCACACGTAACAATGCCCCGGCAATCAGCCGGGCTTCGCAACACGAGGTTCGAGTGTCTTGCATTGTTGTGAGCCCAACCCAGCACGATACAAAGATACAAATGCATAGCTCCCTGCTACCCGAGCCCGGTGCTTCAGAAGGAGCTTGGGGAAGGTGGGGAAGGGAGTGTAGAGATGATTGTGGGTATTCTCTCGGGAGTGTCATGGGGATCCATTCCCCCAGCAGGCAAGATCTTAGATGCCTTTAACCTGAAGCCTCCAGCTCCCGCCTTTGTACATCCCAGATCCCAAAAGCCATAACCGACCACGGCACCTAAAGCCGTTACTTCGTTGAGACTCCCAACCCTCCTGCCCATATCGGCCGCATCGCTCTTCGCACGTTCCGAGGGCTTTGCGGCCTGTCTGGGAGGGTCTTCCCTCCACGTTGCCGGACTAATTAAAAAAATCCTCAAGTACAACATGCCGCTCCGTGTATGAGGGTATCTGTAAACCCTTGTACCACAGTCTTACCATTTGCCCTGAACACATGGAAGTGGTCTCTCAAGAGCCTAGAACTCAGGCTCTTGAGAACTTTGGAAGTTCAGGGGCTTCAGGATTTGGGAGCTTGCCGTAGGTTTGAGCCAGAGGATAAACATAACAATAAAGAGCCCTTTCACTTCATGGAAGTACACATGAACCAAGCTTCCACATCAGGTTCTGTGCTGCCTTGGGAACATATACGACTGCAATCGGCGAAAGACTTCAGTCTACAGGGGCCTGAATAAGACTAGGGCTGCTTTATATAGGGTCAGTCTATTATGAAGGAACCTCAAGGAGGTTTTCATGGTAAATATTCCGAGCCCCTGTCTTTGAGTGGTCGAATCCCTGGATGCTTGGAGGCCAAGTTATTGCAGCTCAAAGTCTCAACTCGCCCAACACCGCAAACCCCAAGCCCCTTATAGAACCTTTATGCAACCGTGCCATTGAAATAGATCTGCTAGAACCGCTATACAGAACTTTAGAGCGCTTGAGGGAACCCTCTACCATCCCCGTCATGTAGAGGCCGTAATGATTAGAACGGGGCCTTAACCTTTAAATTCTACGGTAATTATAATATAAGGACGCCCATGTTGCAATAATATTCTCAGTCATTATTAAGGCCCCTACCGTTACATGAAGCACAGAGACCCCGGCCTGCAGGGCAGCGCAGAAGCTTGGCCGTAACCGGGCCCAGGTCGCCTCGGTTTCAGCGGCTGAGTTTTCCGGCTTTCCAAATATTGTTTTAGGGTTTCGACTCTGACACTCGCACAAGCAGGCAAGGGTCCAGGGCTTAGGGTTTAGGGGCTTCAGCAGCAGCAGCAGCGGCAGCAGCAGTAGCAGCAGAAGTGAAGTGGCAGCAGCAGCCTTGGAGGATGCGATAGTTGGCAATAGATCCAAGAGGCAAAATTCGCTGTCATGCTATGTGGCGACAGCAGCTGACCTGACCTAGAAGTCCTGCATGCATGCGGCCATGGGGCAAACACATCTTCGTCCTGGCCCAAGGCGGGGTAGATGACAGAGGTTCGCGATGAAAAAGGCTGCTAGAACGCTCGAAGGAACTCTAAACGAATCGCAACGAAATGTTGGAAAGTGTGCATATGTTCCTTTTCCCAACCGACTGCAATCGCTGTGCATCAAACACAAACCCTCCATCCCTGAACTTTCTCAGCGGGGAACGGGCAACGCAGGCTGTCTACTCGAAAGACTGGCATAGCATCATTGGGAAACCCCGAGCTCTTCGAATGCGCTGCCCCAACTGACTGAAACTTCAACATCCCTAGTCCCGATCCGACATACCATCTCCTGCACCCTGAAAACCCCTCATGAAACAGAGTAACAACTGGCCCCAATGCCTCAGATGCTCCTAGAAGAGCAGCACCTCTGCGAAAAGTCAGAGTGTTTCAACCAGGCTGCGTTTGAAAGCTAGCTTGGAGGTGCTACTAAATTTCACGAGGCACGGCGGCCTAATACCCGGAATTTGGAGGCTGAAGGGGCCAAAGGGTTTTGCTTTGAGGGCATCTTTGAAGGCTTTGCCGGTGCTTTGAGTGCAGGGCACTTGAACGTCCGACTTTGGTGTTCCAAGGCTGCAGGGTCTTTGTTGATTTTCCTTACAGATGAAATGGGTGCTATGGCAAGCTTCTGTACGGGCTGTACAAACTAACACACATGCATGTGTATGTATGGAGGATCGTTATTAGCATTACTGTGCCTTTCACTAGGATGTCTCTCCCTGAGACGGTTTGACATTGCACCGAATATGCATCCGACATCCGTTACACTCTGCTGCTCGCGACACTGCTAAAACTAAGAATATGAGTTCTTGAAAATCAGAGGGTCCTGAGAACATCAGGGCAAGTATGGCCATGCAAACTCACATGTATAAGTGAGTTCTGATGGGTTTACCTGGCCTACCTACCGGGAGTGTGACACCCCGGCGAAAGTGCTATTAGCACTATCTTTCGTCTATAGTCAATGGCTTGTAGAAATCAGGACATCATCTTGGGATCCTGTTGGTAAAATTGCGTACGGCATACCTGCTGCTTTATATCAGGCCTCAGCATAAGGTACACCCCAAACCGGCTTTCTCAAAATTAACTACTGTTTTTCGCGCCCGAACGCATCCTTGAAGACTATCTGCACCTTCGCTTTTCGGCGAGGTCGGCTCCAGTGCCTTCTCGGGGCGATCATCCTGCACAGAGCAGAACTCTTCGTTGTCCAAATCGAAAACACAGACACAGTGCCTGCAATCCTGTGTTTCAGTCATATGTGTATATTATAGGTAGCTAGCTAGGTAGGTAGGTAGGTAGGCAGACAGGTAGGTAGGTAGGTAGGTAGATAGACAGACGGATAGGTAGGTAGATAGATCGACCGATAGATAAGACAACTAGGTAGATATGAATGATTGGCAGATAGATAGATAGATAGATAGATAGATGTTTAGATAGATAGATGGATGGATGGATGCATAGATGGATAGATGGATAGATAGATAGATAGATAGATCGATAAATGGACCAGTAGCTAGAGAGAGAGAGAGAGAGAGAGAGAGAGAATGAGATACGTAGATAGATAGACAGACAGACAGAGAGAAACAGAGAGAGAGAGAGAGAGACAGAGAGATAGATAGATCGATAGACAGATAGATAGATGGATGGATAGATAGATATGAATGATAGATAGGATAGATAGACAGAGAGACAGCCAGCCTGCCTGCCAGCCAGGCAGGCCGGCAGGCAAACAGACAGAGAGAGAGAGAGAGAGAGAGAGATAGATAGATAGATGGAAAGATAGGACCAACATGTATCAACAAAAGTTTAAGTGCTGTGGCCGTGGGTTAAGCTTGTGAACCCACGCCAAGAAATATCAAGTCCACGAACTCAACTGGTAGCAGAATAAGAGCAAGCTTCTGACCTGAAGTTTAGAAAGGCCGTCACATGTGCTGACCATGCAGCTCAACGAAGGCTCTCTAGCGATCCACAAAACCGACGCATGAAGCTCAAGAAACCTTAAGCCCCAAAGCCTAAAAACCCGAGACCCTCTAAAACTCAAGCGTCACCATCAGAGCTCAGGCAAAAACCAAAGTTGCGTACGGCCTCCATCCAAGACAGACGTGGAGCCTCTTCAGGGGGAGGACACATGAGGGTGTTCTGCATTGGCATTCATGTGGGAACCTGATCAAGCAACCGTGGGTCTGTCGTTAGGGCTCTTTATATGAAGCCGTATATATCTGGGGTTATATAGGGGCCAGGGTCTCTTGATCAGGTGCTCTGCATTGGCATTGTTTCGCAGTTTGGGTTAATTCGATTGGGGCGTAGCGCGGCAGTTTAGTCTTTAGTGCACAACAAAATCCGAAGCCGAAGCCAACCACATCAAGCCGGCACCTGGGGTCCAGATGTTTTGGATGGGCTTGAGCATCTTGAACTTAAGGCCATTAGAACGTAAGAGAGGGCCCTGCAGGTTTTGCGTTTCTATCCTGCAGTCGTGTACGGTCCTGCAAGAAGCAGCAGACTTGAAAGCACTTCGTGCGAGCCGCCACCAAAAACTGAAATGTACCTCTTGGGAGTTGCAGAATGTACGCCTAAGTGGCCCCTGGACAGAACCCCAGGCTAGGTGAGGCTGACGACTCTACGATACTCTCGTGCACACGTTGCGCTTCGACTCGCATACCTCCGACTCTTAGAACGTCATACCCGAAGTGTTAAAAACTCCATCCCTTCCCACTGCCCCAAACCTCGACAATGCACCGTACCGTTAATGATAGAAATCCTGCATTACCTTAAGGACCCTAAACTGTGGGAACTATAAGTAATGCAGGATTTACATCATCAACCGTAGTTCTAGGCAGGCGTCTCGTCCTTGCAACAAATTGGAGACCTCGAAATCCAGCGCTCCACAGTAGCTCTTCCGAAGATGTCCCGCACCGGAGAGCGTCTGCCTGAGCTGCATTACTATCATTACTGAGCGGAAGTTCAAAGTCCGATGGACATCGAAAAAAAACCTCGGATCCGAAAGCACTCAGAATCCTGTCCCGAAACCTCCAAGCATGGCGACATCCCCATCCTAAAACACATAAGCCCCGGCTCCCCCCCAAGAAAAACTTCCCTGTGGTGAAACACAAACCCCGAGACCTTTGGAAGCTGCGGGTGCCAGGGTTGAAGTTCCTCTGTGTTTTCAAGGCTTCCGGAGTATTAAAGCTTGTAAGGTGTGCGACTTTAGGGTCTTGTCGCCTTTTTATAGGGGCGTCCAGTCTTATGCCCACAGCACAAGCGGAACTCATGAGCAGAAGGCTCCAAGAATTGGAGGGATATGGAGGGATACCGCCAAGAGCTTGACAAGGTGCAGCTTTTCCAGCCACCTCCTCCGGGATGGGGCTTGGGGGTTTTGGGGGTCTGGGACCCCCGCTAAGGACGTTAGAGGTTTTGCTTTGATGTTGGACCACAGCAGATGTTTACGCAAAAGCTCGTTGGAATTTCTGAATGCTATTACCGCCAACTTCGAGAAGATGATAGGCGGGCCTTCTGGACAAAAGGAACCAACTCTATTCTTCTGCCTCTTGTGGCAACTGTTCTTCGGGGTGGATGTGTTCTGAGTGATGCAGCTGCAGTCAAGTATGCTATCTGTGCAAGAGTTTCAGAGGAGACTACACCCCACTTCTTTTCCCAGGACTCGGTCCAGGAAAGGACCTGCGCCGCCATGAAACGCAGTGACCCTGCACTGGCTTTGGCAGGTGAACTGAACTCTGAATTGCCAGAACTCTAACCGTGTTGAACCCTCACCCCGAAACTCCGAACCCTGACGCTGAAAGCCTGAAACTCCTAGATCTCTAAACCTTGAAACACAGGTTACAATAGGTCTTCAGTATAGTACAGTCATGCAGGGAATATAACCAATGCGGGGGGACACTATCACTAATTCAGACCTTTTTCTGACCCGACCCTGGCCTGGTAGCCGGTGTGGCCGCCCCGAAGGCCGTCCAACTGCCTACAGTTTCCGGCTGGTCCTGGTCCTGGCACTGCCGGAGTCCAAGCAAAATCAAACGACTAATGCTGATGAAAGCCTACAAACTCAAAATAACATGAGCTTTTCATGAGTATGACGACGATCGTGATCAGCATCATCACCATCATCGCCGCCACCACCACCACCCACCACCACC